ATATGACAGATGACATTTCCCTCATTTTCTTGCAAATATTTTTCATTTTCTTTTTAATGTGAAACAAATCCATTTCTATTAATTATTTTTATTTATGAGCGTTCTCAATTTTAAAGCACTTTCCATATTTTTACTTGCCATTGCCATCAATTATAAATATTATTTGTTCTAATTCTGAAATATTTGTATAAAATACATTCAAACAAATAAAAACTACATATCAATGGCAATGGCAAGATAATTAATTGTTTTAATTAAATTTAGCTGAAATTTTTAATGTATTTTTTAATATTTAGTAATTATAAAAATATTAATCAAACAGTCAACACAATCAAATAGAAAAAAGGACTAAGAACATGTCCTTATTACAGTTTTTTTTTTAGATGGAAGAAGTGAATTTTAGTTTTTAAATGTGTTGATATAAATATTTTAAATTGTAAATAAATATTGGGCGTTCACAACAAATCTTCCGTTTGCTGCCAAAGAATGTAAGCGATAATATTTAATTTTCGGTATATACCCTCTAGTAAACATATCAGAGAGACTTCCTCTGAATACTTGGACGGATTTCAAATATTTAGTTTACATTTTGTTATTTGCTATACTAGGCGGAAGTACACGCTGCGAAAATATTTGCGATGATGCACTTGACTTAAATCCTATCTGTTTACAAATAAATTATAAAAAAAAAATACATTAAGTAAAGCAAACAATTTGTTTATTCTAAATATTATTATAAACACAAAAATAAGTATTTTAATAACCTATTTTATTTGTAGAGGAAGTTTTAATTTGTAATTGAAATTATTTTTCCTCAGTTATTCTGAAGAATTTTGTATACATTTTTTTCATGTAACTTCATTTTATCTATATAAAGGAGGGTTGACGTGAAAGGTGGATATACTCACCCTCTATCATCGAATATCTGATGTTACATGTTAGTACTCAAATTATGTTCGGAAACTGAGTCGTTTTTGTTTTGTATATTTGTTCGGAAACCGAAGCATTCGAGAACCGAGGTTTTACTATATTTGATATTTTTCTTAATCGGTTCGCATCAAAATCCCTCAACCGAATTCCCAGTTAAAATCCCAACATTAGAAATCCCGACAGTAACTTTTATTATTTGACATGAGGTTATCTTCAAGAATGAGGTTATGTTCAACCATTATTATTATTATAATTGGTATTTTTGATATATAAACTAAGCATAAGAGACATCTACGAAGTATCTTAGTCTATACGTCGTATTGTATAAACAGGAGACTCCTTTGATGCTGTCGGGATTTTAACACGGTCGAGATTTTGATATAGTCCATTGTTTCCAAACCTTTTTTGTGTCATGCCTACCCATACCTTTCTAAAATTAGTATGCCCCATATGTAACATATACGTAATTCGTTTAAACTCTAGAAATGACAGCTGTCACCATATGTCAAACCCAAATAAAAAACTGTTAGCAATTGGGTCGATATACAACTACAAACAGGTTGAGAAAATAAAGGTCAGAAACGCTGGTGTATATTACATGAAACAGGTATTACATCGTCGTTGTCGTTGAACTCAATGAAAAACAATAATAGTTGGTAGTCCTGACAAACATTACAAGTTTTTCGCGCAAAGTGTGTAAGCTATATTTGTATTATTTTTTTATCAATCATTTAATGTTATATACTTCTGAAATTGGTTAATTATATGTTCATACCTAACTATATAAATAGTCACCAAATAGTAAAGAAATAAATCTCGAAGGAAAAAGGTGGAATGTAAGACACAAATGCACACATTCTCCATGGAAAAAGCATTAATGCAATTTCATCCAGAAACAGAAGGGAATCAAATGAAATGGAAGAGATTCATATATATTTCTATTTGGTCCCCTAGGCCTGTCCGGACGTGCCCCACCGAACTGTGGGATCGCGTTATATATTTTTTATTTGCTGAGTGTCCCTTCAGGGCATTAAGTGTATGTTCGTGTGTCTGTTCTGTGTGTGTTTTTGCTGGATTTATTGGCGGTGGCAGGTGCTGGCGGTGTTAACGTCGACTGCCGCCCCCGCTTCGCACACACTCGCACAATGCTCTACCCTACCACCACCACCATCATCGACGCCTCCCCTGCCCTCCCAAAAACTAGTATTGAGTTTCGCACGGAAAGGGTCTTTTGGTCAGACGATGTCTAAGCTCAGAGTGTTGCGGAATGCCAGATTAAGTGAGGGGATTCCAAGTCCATCACACGCACAACGAAGGACGTAGATGGAGAAGAGAGGAAAGATGGAACAGAGAAAAAGAAGAAAAAAGATAGGAATACGAAGAAGAAGAAAAAATTCCTTTAGGTTGATTGATTGAATAGATCCGGGATTTACTTTTTTATGGGCCGTATAAATCCGCCCTCGCACACTATAAATTATCTATCCAGTTTTTACCCCAAAGAAGAAGGAATTGTAGTTGGGCGAAACTAAGAACTAAATCCGAACGATTTTGCAAAATGAATATCTCACTTTACCATTTTGTTACTGTTATAAATAATGTAATTATACAACGTTATATAATTGTAATAATGACTATAGTCCATAGACTTAACCTCGCAACCCAAAATTGGGAAAAAATGACAAAATGACAGCTGTCAAAAAATTACGCTATGACAGCTAATGTCAAAGCAATGAACATGTGAAATACTTTTAGTAATTGGATCGCTGTACAACTACAAACAAATGTGTAGTGTTAAAAGGTTGAGAAACGCTGGTATATAATGTATACATTAATAACTATTTGTTACAGTTCTGATTGCTGTTGAGAGCAAGGACAGCGGAATACTAAGTAATTTAGATTCTCGCGAAGTTGAGTGTAGTTTCTAAACTACACAGCTACACATAATTGCATTGTGTTAAAATGTCAATTTGCTTCGTTCCTGACATGGGAATGCTAACTTAAGTGCTCGTAGAACGACCGTCCACAATTCATACCATTCTCGTTCCTCCACTTTGCAGCAGATTGAGTGGAATTTTTATGAAACAATCTGTTTACAACTATTAAATTGTTAATGTTTTTTTAGCAAATAATTTATTAACTAGCTTTAAATATTATTGAAAAAAAATATATATTTAGGATGTTTCATTAAAAATAATTGGAATGACATAAACGAAGAAATAACAAGAGAAAATAATTGCTACAAGCAGAATGAAAGAGAAAAGTAGTAGAGCAGCACGATATAATGACCATGAGAAAATAAAAGGAATACAAGTCCATCTGTTATATTAACGCCTGGTTGAATATACGTTTGTTAACGTTAACAAATCGGTTATTTTTTGACGTTGACGTTATATGATATTAAAAATGATCTTCAACAATCAATTTGTTAACTGACAAACTTTATATTTAAGAGATTTTTCAAGTTAAAACAAACATTAATTTTAAATATCCATATAACATATTGTCAAATATTATGTAAGAAATTGACAATCATAAACGTCACTTATTTGTGACAGGGATCGTCTTAAATATCTTGTCTTTCTTAGAATAATAAAGTAATATCAGTTGAAAAGACATTATTTTTATTTGGGTTTTATTATATAATTCCAAATTATTATTATTGTGTGTTATTATCATTTTTTAAATGTTTGTTTAAAAATTGTAATCAGTATTTTTATTACTAGTTTTAAATTTGAAGATAATTACGATTAAGACATAAAGTTTAAAGTGCTCAGATATTGTTTACATTATGAGTACTTAAAACAGTGGTGTAGCATTATGTAGCATTTACTCACCTTTTATAGCACTTTCAAACTTCATACTATAAACAAAGTTTGGTAGCTCTTTAACAAAATTGTAATCCATAAGAATTACAGGAATTATATGTAGAAATAGTAATTGTATATGATAAAAGGCTTGTCTCTTAAATGATTTTTGACAACCAGATTGTTAGATTATCACCCATTCAAATACTATCCACATTACATATTGTTTAATTATTCAAAAAATTCTGTTTGATTCAGATGGACTTATATTTTATAGAACTTTGTAGTTCAGAGATACTCTTAATGACAATAAAATTATGAAAATGACAGCTGTCAAATAATTGCACATTTTATTATATGAATTGCTTTAACTCTTTAAGGGACATGCATTATACTACATTTTGAAGATGCCTAGTATAGTATTGTTATAATTTTCTAGAAAATGTTCAGGAAAGATTAGTAATTAGTAAGTGTTGATTCAGTTAACGAAGTTGTCTTATTCAGTTGTCTAGAAATGTGTTGGGTCTAGAAAGAAGACGGTTATAACTTGCATTATCCTTGAAATTAGTGGTATACTTAAAATATATAAGATCATTTTTATATGTTATTACTATAAATGAAAAATAAATTAAAATAACAGCTGTCAAATATTTGCTATTTTTTTATGGAATGAAGTATACAAAACTGTATGTTATTATTAAACTGAATTGTGCATGTAACTAGTTTAAATTATAGTAAATGTAACTGTTTGGATGACAGTTGTCAAAAGTATTAAACTAAATGGGAATTGCCATTAAATTTTGTCAACTTTATTTATTTAGTTGAAATATAGACATTTAGATGGTTATTACTCATTTTGATAATTATAGCTTTGTATGTTTTGAATGACAGCTGTCAAATATTGAAAACAGAATATAGTTGAAATTTAGACATTTAGTTTATTATTACAAATTTTGATAATATTTGTATGCTGTATGTATTTATGAATTTTGGTTAGAAGATTTAGAAGTTACACATGTTTAACATCTACATTTGAAATGCGTTCGCGCCCGCATTGCAGTGTAGCAAGCTGCAAGATTTATTTCAGTAGCTGCTATAAATCATATCAAGAATGTCTTTATTATCTGCGCCACCAGTACTACTTGGCGAAGCCTTCTCCTCCCATACAAATATATCAAATATCTGTCCGGATCGAACAGAAACTTTAAACTTGAAACCAATGCTTCAGACGTGAATCTCATTGTTTTCCTTTTGTTGATGTTTCAGGAGAAATTGGAAGCCCGCGTGGCGGAATTGGAGGCGGCCCTGGACGATGCCCAGAAAACCGAACAACGAGACAAGCAGACCATTGCCAAATTGCAGAAGCAGATTGCCAAAGTGAGTCTACTCCGCAAAACTTTACCAATCTATCTCTCTTTCAGTTTTCCCATTTCCCCAGACTAACCAATATCGACATCAAATTAGAAATTCACGCTGCAAAAAACAGCGAAAACCCCTTCTTTATACTAGAATCTATTTTATATATAAAACAGAATGGATCTCTGCTGGGTAATTAGTAGGCATGGGATTTTCGCATTGTTGCGAAATTCTTTCATATTTTCCACGTCCATTCGATAACGCGCGCAGATTTCCCAGGCGAGTTTTCGCCTTACGTAACCCTCGCCAGATTTTCCGGCTTTTGTGTGTGCTCGCCTACATTTTTTTCTCTCTTCTCCATTCTTTTTTTCCGTTACAAATGGAAGATTTACGACGACCGAAAGTAACGGAGGAGGAAATTTAGTCGACCGCAAGGCGAGTAATTATCGGAACAAACCGGAACGGGAATTAATTGCAGACCGGAAGACGAAGGGTAAGAGTGGAAAGAGAAAATAAGAAAAAACGTATACGAAAGCTGCACAGAAGGACATCAAAGCGGATTTTCTTCTCGACTCAACGTTATATATATTTTTTTTGTTCATTATCAGAAAATGAATCTGGTAAAGGATAAGAAAACGCTATTAAAATCTTGTTAATGATTGTAATCGAATCTCCGCATGGGAGGGCACGATTCAATGTAATACCAGTTTGGTGAGTTGCATGTAAACGATATTCTTAATGAGAAAACTGCGAGACGCAATTGATTTCCAATTGAAGCTTATAATTTGAGTTGTATAAGATCGTGCGCTTCTCCGTGTAAATAATATAGAATGAACTAATCAAGAACGTCGACACGGTGTAATAACAGCTTTTTCAGCATCAACTGAAAATTGATACCGAAAAGATTGAATAATGTCTTAACGTATCATATGATGTCGCAAGAAGTCATATAATGCTAGGGTTGTTTTCCCCAAATGAAAATAAAGCTTTATACAATAAATGTAGTTTTAATACTAAAATAAAGATGTCTTTAGAAGGAAAACACTAGTAGTGTACCACCTTATTACTAAAAGTAGTATAGCATTAACCTTTTTCTCTATGAACTTTGTAATATGGAATATATTTTAGAGGCATTCTGTGGAATAAAAAAAAACTATTAATCTTTCACAATAGTCTTATAGACAAAGACTCTGATATTTAATGAAAGAGCCATTTTTAAGATATTTCTTATTCAGAAAAAGTTTAGGGAACGATACCCGAGATGGGAAACTTATGTACATATTTATTATAGTTTCACAATTGATGTGCGGTGAATTTCAAATATTTTGATCAGGTGATTGAATTTCAAATATGTTAGTTAATGGGAGGGATGAATTTCTTCTGGAATTCCATTTCAAAATTTTGTTTTACTTTTGACACTGGGAGCAACCGCACTGTGCATGCGGCTCCGGAGCCGCGAGTTGCCGACTCTGGTCTAACCTCAACTAAGTTGTCTAACTAATATGTGAACTTAATCTAATTTATTTTTGATGTTGAAATCTATTTTTGTCAGTCGAGAAGAACAATAAAGTTGTCAATAGACAAACACATGCTGATACACAACTAAACTTATTACTAATAACAAAACTCACTCGCGATACCAGGTTTAGGATTGTCGAAAGAACTGCTGCAGAAGAGCATCGACAAGAAGAATGATATAAAATATATATTTTTAAATAAAATTTAAATATTTTTATACAAATAAATAAAAAAAATTATAGTTATGTATCACATTCGATCACAACTTGTTGAAATCAATAAAGTATACTAAGATTATTAGCTTCCATATAATAACTAGGTTTTTCAAATTCAAAGATAAAAATTCATTTCAGTGTATTTATAAGATTTGAACTTATGAAACAGTATAATTATTAAATACATAATTATACATGGATTTTTTGGTACCATAAAATATACATTGAAATTGTAGAAATTGTCCAAAACCGGACTATTCGAGGATTTTCAAACCATACAAAAAGAGATTTGACTGCATAGAGGGAATATGCCGGTCTTTTGTGAAGAATAGAATTTATTTTTTGTTGCTCAGTTAAATTTAGTTCATTTTCATATTATCAATAGCAAATCCGGACAGATCGAGGCCGCACTATGCGAGGTATTGCTGTATAAAACATAGAAGAAAATAACAATTTTAATTTGATTTACTATAAAAATTATTATTATGTATTATTAATTTATGGGTGATTCAATATTATAGATGAAAAATATTATTAATTTGAATAACAAACAGTTTCTTTGTTACAACATTATTACTATACATAATTTAATGTCAACGTCCTCGCAAATCATTAATTCGATTCTGCGAAGATCAAAAGGAAACTCAATATTCCGTGCAGGTATTGTTGCAGCTGTTAAACCAACACCGAATCCTGATTTTGACAGGTGTCAAAAAATGATGCAAACAAAGCGATTGACATCATGCGTGTAGGTCGAACAAATCCATTGTTTGATTGATTAATAGGTCCTTCGGGGGTCCTGGTTATTATTATTATTTTTTCTGTTATGCTTTCAATTTTCTTCCTTCATTCAAACCATCCGTGACAGCGAAACGCAAAAGAAAAAATATTAATTAGTCCGCTAATTGGAGCGGAAATCCGCGCACTTCCATCTCATTAAGCTACGCTTTCGTCTTTAATCTTCTTCAATTAGATTACGAAAAAATACTCCGAAATGGCAAGCTTTTGCAGTACTTTTTCGCTAGATTTACGAAGTAAATTAAGATTGATTACGTTTTAATGCATTCGTACATATTTGTTTTTAATCGAATTTACAGGAAAATCTCTTTTTGTGGAATACTTTTCCAGTTTTACGCACACAATTCTGATTAATGGGTTTTGTTGGTTTCTTTAATGATCCAACAAATACTCTTGTATTATGTAAACTTATGATAATAATATCTTAAAGACACGTTATAAACAACGCTCAATTGGTTCAATTCATGTGGCATGAATATACATAATAATAATGCATACAGCAAATATACTATATTCAATAGGTAGTTAGAACGGAATCCTGCAAATACTGAACATAACGCAAACACATTAGATATTATGAAGGGGAGTGTTGGAATGCAAATATCCTAATATACGCAGAATATATAATCAATGTGTTTCACCCATAAATTTATCTACATTCTTTTAAGAAGACATGTATATTATATTATGTCTCTCATAGAGAATTATTTATTAGTTTTCAAACTTTATTTAAAATTTTAATTAATATTATATTCATAGAAACATTTGTTAAAGTCTCATGTTAATTGATTATTATATTAATAAAGTAACTATTAAATAAAATATGACTAAAAGAAAACCTTCTTAAAAATACATATATTCAACGTATTTGTTAGAAAGTTTTCTTAGTATTTGACTATGAACTAGCAGTTATGTTATACAAAAATAAGGACGTATTTTTTTTATTTAATTTGTAGTCAATATGATAAAAACGTTTACTATAATAATGCACAAATACTACTTGAAGTCTCATTTAAATTCAAATATAATTTAATTTGTATATTGTTTTTAACTAAGTTATTGAATATTTGAATGAACAAATCAATTAAATTATATGAAGTTATTTTTTCTATAACAAGATTTAAAATGTAATTGAAATTTAAAACAAAATTGTCAAATGCGAATTTACTCAACATTTTCAAATTACTTTAAGATTTTTGTTTGTTAATAAATATTTTTTTATAAAACAATAATAAGGGCGACTAATAGCCGAATGGTTAAGTCGCCCTACCCACGATCGAACTGGCGACGGTTCGAATCCTGGTCAAGCCAGGCCCTTTGTGAGCCCTCTTGGTACTTACAGCAATAGGGCCATCGTTCATCACAGATGGACAGTCAAATGAATTAAGTTCAACATATGGATCTTCAGCTAAGTCGATGGACAATGACAGTGTTAAGGATAGCAGCAGATTCATAGTGAAAGGAAATAGTGGAATTGCAGAGCATCAATCAGAGTATCAGTAATATCTGAAGTTAACCTACAAGACGAGAGCCAACCTATCCACCGGGAAAGATCAACCGCGATCATAAATTTACTCAATGTTCACATTGATGAACAGTTTGTAAATAAAATTACACGACATAAAAAATATTTTCTTCTTATTACTTATTTGACAAAATGATGCTATAAATTGATCCTTTGTGTTTTTCCTAATATGTTAAAATTATATGCTGGGTCTTTAACTTTGTAATTATTACGTTGTAAATATTTTATTGGGTTTTAAACTTTATTTCCACTTGTTTTGTTCTCATCAAAAGAGCCGTGGGTTGCCGAACTCTGAATTAAGGCAATGTTATATAAGATGACAATCTAAGAAATTGTATTGTCTTTTCATTTTTGTCGTTAATAATGCATATACTATAAAAATGTGAAAATACACGTCCTTATTGTATAGATAGAATTATGAAAATAATGTCCTGAATCTATTATATAACGATATTAGATTATTTTTAAATAATGATTATAAACAAAGTAATTTGTAATTTAGTAGATTAGGATTTTTGTAAGTAATTGATGTCATTTTCTCTTTAATTAATTATTTTCAAATATTTACAACAGATGGCGTTCTAAATTTGACAACTTGCCGTATACTTGCATACTTAATGCAATCGTTTATAATAAACACTCAGAAAAAATGGTGTGTACAAGCCGTAATGAAGGTCGATCGTAAAAATTACCATTTATTTTGGCTCATATCGTCGAAGATGCTCTTTCCTGCGCGACTCGCGTTAAACGGAGACCCAGTCATAAAAATATTTTCGCCGCTTGTGCGGTTTTGCACCCTCCCCCCTTAATTTACGGTCGTAAAAAGATGAAGACGAAAACTACCCGACTTTACGGAATTTATGCGCCAGCGTTCTCGATGTGTTTTTCGGATCGCTCGAGCAAAGACAAAGAAGCGAACGCGCCCTCCTACACCACCACTGCTCCTTAGTCCTTCCATCGAATAT